GAGACAGGAGTAATCCTTGAGCTTTAACAGTGTGGCCCAAAAAAAGGGGGGTGGAGAGAATGAGGGTAGGCCAGGGTATCTCTGCCAGCAAGACTGGCAGCTGGGACAATTACTTCTTGGCTGAGGAATGTCAATGCAGTTTAGAAAGTTTAGCAGGACTGCCCTTTTTTCTGTGGATCTGCCAGAAACAATTCTGGCCACTACTTAAGAACCAGAGTTAGCCAGGAATACAGCTCAGAGGCAGAGCCCTTGCCCTGCATGTGTGAGGTCCTGGTTCAAGTCTAAGTACCAGGAACCAATGAGTTACATCAACCAGAAGGGCGTTTAAGTGCAAACATGGTCTGGAGAGAGTACAGCAGATTAAGGCAAGTGCCTTGCATGCAGCTGACCCTGGTCTGATCCTTAGCTCTGCATATGGTCCCCTGAGCATCACCAGGAGTGATTCCTGAGCTTGGTGCCAGGATAATGCTCTCAGCAGTTAGGTGTGGCCTAAAACTAAAAGAAATTTGCACTGTAGCACTGTCCTCCTGCTGTTCATCGATTTGCTCGAGTGGGCACCAGTAACATCTCCATTGTGAGACATATTACGGTTTTTGGCATATGGAATACGCCAGGGGGAGCTTGCCAGGCTCTGCTGTGCAGGTGGGATACTCTCGGTAGCCTGCTAGGCTCTCTGAGAGGAGCAGAGGAAATCGAACCCCGGGTTGGCCACATGCAAGGCAAATGCCCTACCTGCTGTGCTATCGCTCCAGCCCAAAAGAGATTAAAACAATAAATAAAACCACGCCATCCTGGTATAGTTTAAGGCCCAGATTTAAACCCTGGAACTGCATATCCCTGAGCAGTCAGGATTTTGGAGCAGGAAAGCCTGGAGTAAGGCCTGAGCACGTCCCACCCCCCCTTAAGAGAATTTATTTGAAATACTTGTTGAGCTGCTCAAAACAATAGTGAAAGATTTTGTAGGATATCTACCTTACTAAGTGGCTACATGAAGGAACAATGCTAGGCTTTTTAAACTTCAAACTAAAGCAACCTAAGGGCTGTTTAGCAGATAAGGAATGAGTTACATTCACTAGTGATGCTCATTACAGCGTCTGTATACAACCAAGCTTCAGCATGATTTACTCTTTTACAGTAAAATCTCTTTCACCGTTCCCTTTTTGAACAGTTCCCTTGGGGGACGAAAGAATTTTGCCTACGTTTTTCATAGGTTTGCTTATATTTTGCACAAAGCAAAAGCCTTTGTCTGGCACATACATTTAAGATGTTAAACCCGGGCTGGAGAGGAGAGTACAGCAGGGAGGGCGCTTGCCTTGCACGCAGCAGACGGGCTTCGGCCCCCCAGCCCCTCCCAGGAATGACTCTGGGGCGCTGTGCCCCGAGCACAGCAGTGTGGCCGCCAGCGGCCCGCCCCCAACCAAAAATCCCCAGACAACTTTGATAGCACAGTAATGTTATCACATCGTCTCCACGGGACACTAAAAAGGATAAAACAAAACAAAACAAAAAAGGATGGGATTTCTCAAAGAATTGGCCGATTCCTCCTACTATCAAACACTTGCAAACTCTCCCAGTTTTTAAGCATTAAAAATGCTTAAAAATGCCACCTGGGGCAGGACGCGTACTCAAAACATTTAACAAAGGAGGCCCGGCGAGACGTCCCAGCGCAGAGGAGCGGGGGACGGCGCGGGAACTCGGGGCGGAGGCGGCCGCGGGCCCCCGAGCGCGGGAGGTGGCGCGTCCCCGGACGCGAAAGGAGTCCGAGCACGCGGCCCGCGGCGTCCCCACTTACTTTTTCAGCTCCGGGGGGTGAGCTTTGCTCATGGTGTCTCCGCAGCGGGCTCACAGACGCCTCCAAGACGAAACCTCGAGGACTCTTGTCGCGCTCCCGCCGTAGGCCAGGAGTCTCGCGTCTGACGTCACCCACCCCTCGAGCCAATCAGGGGTCGCAGCGTTCACGTTTGGCTTCGCGATATTTAGGGACCTGCGAGAGTTGGCCGGGCTCCAGCTTCCGGCTACGGCGCCAGCGATTGGCTAGGGTGGGAGGTGCTGTTGGGACACTTCCGTTTCCTCCTCTGTAGCGTGATTAACGGTTTCTGAGACACATACATTAATTACTTATTTACTAATGCCTTATCCCTGTCGATTGTTTGTTGTTGTTGTTCACAACCTGCTCTGCTCGGGGACCAGGTGTGGTGGTGCCGGAATGAAACCGCTGTCAGCCGAGTTCACGCCTTGAGTCTTAATTCCTCTGTCACTCCTGACCCATCTCTCAGTTATCTCAGGATGCTTTGGGGGAAGTGAACCCCGAATATGCCTTTGTCATAATAACTCAATTTAGTGACCTCTACATGGGGGTGCGGTGCGATGTCTGTTTTCAAGAATTGCAACATACGGCTCAGAAATGATTCCCTGTTCACTGATCCGGCGGCTGTCTCCGGAAGCAAACTTAATTGCACATTGCTCCAATATATGAAAGTCATCCTTAATAGGACATACTGATTTTCAATTTAATCTTTAAGAAGGAGAATCCACATTTATGAAGCTAATGAGGGTTATAGAAGAGTTAAGAAATCAAAATAGAGAAGCTCTGATAATTTGATAGAGAATTGAGTTCTAAAACTCAATTCATAGAGCCCGGGATGTGGCTCAAGTGGTAGAATACGTGTCTTTTATGTGTTAGGTCTTGAGTTCCATTTGCAGCAGGGGGAAAAATCTTGACGTCTTTATTTTTTTTGGGGGGGGGGGGCACACCTGGTAGTGCTCAGGGGTTACTCTTGGCTCTGCACTCAGGAATAACTCCTGGCAGGCTCCAGGGACCATATGGGGTGTCAGGAATGGAACCTACCCTGAAATCCCAATGGTAATAATGATTTAAATTCATTTTGGAACTGATGTTAATGTACACTGGGGTAAGGAGCTTGCCTTGCTCTGAGCTGTCAAACCCGGGCATCAAATATAGTCCCCTAAGCATAAGATTACCAGGAGTAATCTCTGAGCACAGAGCCTGGAATAAGCCATGAGGACCGCCAGATGTTGCCCAAATAAATGAGCCAACCAAAAATTCTTTTGGTATTCAAAATTCTAGATACTGCATTTTCTTTAGAGGGATCTAACTATATTTGGCATCTTGTTGAAGCCAGAGAATGGTCATGGATACTTTTTTTCCAGAGTCATTGACTTTTTATATTTAACCATTTAAATTGAAGTACCAGGTTTAACAATACTGTTAATATACTTTTCCCTGCACACATTATTCCAATACCATACCCATCATCAGCCTGCTTCCCCCCACCAGCATCCCAACAACCTTCTCAATTCTCCCTCCCATCTAAGCTAAATCCTGTAGACAAAATCTTCTGTGACTTAAATAAAGAAAAATACATTTTACAGGGACTAGAAATGGTACAATGGGTAGAACGTTTGCCTTGCACATGGCTGGCTTGGATAAACCCTGAGCACCAATGGGTGTGACCCCAAAACAAAGCATTTCACACGGTTTATCCTTTTTTAGTGTATTTCAAAAATTATGGTGTCTTAGCTTCCCCTGAGTTCCCATTTACTAAATCACTTGTGCATTTGAACTGGAACACACAACTCTCTTCACTGTTTTGGATTTTTTTTTTTTTATTTTGAAGCCACATCCTGTATTGCTCAGGGATGGCTCTTGGCCTGGGGATATTGCTTGGGGGTTGCTCTCAGTGCTTGGAGAATACTTGGGGTGGGGCGGGAACTCTGTGGTGCTGGATATTGTACCTGAGCCTCCCTCATATTAAATTAGGTGCTACAGCCTATTGAGCTGTCTCTCCTTCCCTCTTCTCAACCTCTATAGAAATGTATTTCAGCGGAGGGGCTGACATGTTGCCTCCACAGGCTGGAACACATGCTTTGCATATGGGAGGACTGGGTTGTTCCATGCCAGGCATCACCAAGAGGTGAGAGTAGCCCCTGAGCATCACTGGGCATGGCCCAAACACGATAAAAGGAAAAATAAAACTTGTTTCCATATATTACAAATAATCCTGGTGCTGGGATGTGGCTCAGTGGTATAGTATATTTTGAAAGTGTGAGGCCCCAGGTAAAATCTCCCCTCACTACAAAAACAAACAACAATCCTCCCTAAGCCCAAAAGATATATCCTGGTTAGTTATAGATTTGCTGTCCTTATATAAGGAAAGAAACACAATAGTGGAGGAAAACTTAAATCTTATTTATTTTTTAGAACCAAACCACTAGGAAAATATATCACAATCTTGAACAGCAAACAGACAGGCTATAATATCAAGTAAAACATTGGTAAAAAGACAAGGCCCTCATCAAAATGATAAGGTGCTGGTACTGGGACGATGAAGGATGTAAAGCCCCAGGCAAAAGTGTATTTGGTAAACGGGTTGTTTTCCTTTCCTCTAAAGGAGTCACAACTCCTGCCAACCTCTAGCTACTTGCTTTTTCTCTCTGTTGCCAAGGGATTGCTTCCCTAGGGCTCTGTTATTTTAGGGGGCCAGTGCACAACATACAATACTGAGTTTAGGCTTTCACTGCATTCTACCCATGAAAGCCATGTTTTCCTAGATCCTGTAAAACTCAACAGTGGAAAGTTGCTCTATCAATGTTCATTCCTGTATACTGGTATACACCCAACCAATTCTCCTCTCTCTCCCAGGGAGAATGTCTCAATACTACCCTGTCACTCAGTTGCAGAGAGCCTTGGGTCCATTCTGGCAGCCAGTAAGAGAGAAGCTCCGCCTTAAACTCACTGTTAATACTGCCTGTCATGTTTCTGCAGGGTCTTCAAGCTGAAAGATGCAATGCTGGAAAACTTCAAGTAGTGTGCATTTACATTGTAATGGCCACAAATAGACACAAAGAACTTCAAAGTTCTTAAACTATCTTTGTTTCCCAACTCTGTACCTTAAACCAATTTCTTGCTCTTGCACATAAAATAAAACCAAGCAAAGTACAGACCCAGTTCTCCCCCTTGCCCCAATACCTCCCCCCACCCTAAATAGGGACCTCATGGATTTTTGCTTTACCGGTTTATAAAAAACAATGTAGTGATCTTTATGGTCAACAGGAGGTTGGAACAAACACTTTCCTTCATTCTCTGTCAGATCACTGGCAGATGAGAGGAACCTGCCAGCTTCCTGGTACCCAACTGAGTGGTAAGAAGCAGTTGGCACATTGGAGAACTATGGTCTGGTAGAGAGATCCTACAGCCAGGACAAGCAGTTGCCACAGATATTTAGGTTCTCAAATGTCTCCTGTGTTATCTCTGATCCAAACTTAAGCACCAATTTTTTTTTTTCTTTTTCACTTCTAAGACTAGAAAAATAAAGGAACCAGTATCCGGAGGCAAGTAACCAGTCTTAAACTTGCTGCCTTCCTTTTTTTCTTCATTTGTTGACACGGTTTAAAAAGACCAACATTCCCATTTCTCTCTTTCAAAGAGACTCCTGCCCTTAGTCTCCATGGCCTGGGACACAGACTTCTATTTTGCAATGGATGAGAGAGACTCTTTCATCTTCTTGGTCATGGTTGGGATGAGATGCATGTGGTCATCTACACACTTGGTCACACAACTCTCCAGCTGTCGTTTCACCTGAAGCTCTTTATTCCCTGCGTCCATTGAATCTTTGGCTTTGTCGTTGCAATGCATGGTGCACCGGGCCAGGCGGTCCTATAGCAGGAAGTGAGAGCAAAGGCTCAGATGCTGGTTTCCTTTTATCAAGTACTTATCGTGTGCCAGCCCCCGTGCTATATAATTGGGCTGGCTGTCATTTACCTTGATTAAGCCAAGGGATGCTCTAGTGCAATGAATCAAGATTAGCCAGAATGAAGCAAAAAGTGCACTCGGAAGGCTCAGAGACAGTTGGTGAATGATATACTACATTGCACCAAAGCTCCTTCCAGGACATGAGAAGTAACTAGAGGTTACAGCCACAGAAAGACTGACAAACATGTTGGTTTGTCTTTGTGACAGAAAAATTACTCAATTTGTTGCAGGAGAGAGTGTGTAGTGGGTAAGCTGCTTGCCTTGCGGGCAGCCACACCAGGTTTGATCCCTGAGCACAGAACCAGGGGTAAAGCTCTGCGACTGCCAGGTATAGCCCCCAAACCAAACAAAAATACTTTACAATATACAGTGTATTTTATCTCTGCTTGTCCTCCCCCCTACACCCACTCCCAAGCATAGAGGTCTTGGTAACTCTCTCTCTCTGACATCACTGTTTTTGTTTTTTGGTTTTGGGCTGGATCTGGGCTTGGAAGTTTGGGGGTTGGTGAGGGGACATTCTGTGTCAGGCACGTCCTAAGGGGTAGAATAAAGGCCTCTGGGCTTAGCCTTTGGATCTACTTCTCTGGTTCCCTCCTTCTCTAAGAAATAGAGCTCTCAAATTCCCACCTCCCCACTCCACATTTCAAACCCTGTAAATGATGGGTGGGTCATAAGATAACACATGTTACAGGAACCAAGACACGAAAGTCAAGCGGTCTGTACCAAGGCTTGCTCTTGCCTGCAAATAAAAGCCCCATCAAGGACAAGTGTCCGCTCTCCCGCTACACAGTACCTGGAATTTCTCCAGCTCCCCCGTCACCAGGGCCTGGGCTTGGGCCAGTGGTGCATGGCAGCGCTCAATGCACTGGTGCACCTGCTGCATGGTCGCCTGGGTGTCCTCACAGCAACTGGCACTGCACCGGAACATGACACTCTGGGGTGAGAGAGGCAGAGGGAGGGCGTGAGGGAAGCGAGCGCTGCAATCAGAAATGCATCAGGCCCTTGGAATCACGGGGTCGGGGGCTGGGGCAGGGGGCTTATCCTTGGTGCCCCGCAGGGTTTCACGGCTTCCTTGCTTAGTATATAAAGCAAGGAGGCACTTGTTGCCCGGTTGGCAGCGTGGTATGTTCGAGAAAGCCAACTCCTCCAAGCCGAGCCGAGCCCAGGCGTCATCCAGCCAGCGCTGCGAGTTCAGAGGTCAACCCGGTGCGCTGCACGCCACTAGGGGGCCGGCGGGGCAGGAATGAATGACTCCGGGGGGCGCTCCAGGGGGTCCCCCACGCCCCGGCAGGAGGGGACGCACGCGGCTTGGCACCAAGGGCGCGCGGAGTGCAGCGGGGGGTGCTCGGGGCCACGCAAGTCCGCAGGACCCGGCCGCCGCGGTGGCCCCGCGCTTCCGCCCTCCTGGCCTCTCACCTTGGCAGCGCCCTTCGCGGGCCCCGGCTGCGGGGCTGCAGAGGGGGCGGCTCCGCGCGGGCGGGGGGTGGGGTGCGGGAGGTCGCCGTCCGCCCCCCGCCAACGCCTCCCGCGGGCCGGCCTCGCCCCGGAGCAGAAAACGGCCCACCGCGGGCCGGTGCGCCCGACCCCGCTCGCCCCGTCTCGGGGTGCGGGGCGGCCCCGGGGCGACGCGGGGCCCCGCGCGGCTGGACGGGCCCGCTCGCCCCCGCCCCGCTACCTGCATCTTCCGGATGTTCTCGCGCTCCAGGCTCTTCACCATGGAGTCCACCGCCTCCTGCACCCGCAGCTGCTGCACCTCCGCCATGGCGACCCCGCGCTCCACGCCCGCTGCGCCGGCGCCCACATGGACACGCGCTCGCGGGCCCGCCCCCAGCCCGCCGCTTCCCGGGTCGGCGCGGCCCGCCCGGCCCGGCCCGGCCCACGCCGCCCCCTGGCGCCCGAGAGGAGCAACTGCACGCTGGGCGGACGCGCGCGCCCCGTCGCGCTCCCCTTTAGGCCTCGTGTGGCCACCTACCGTTGGTCCTGGAGGGGCCCGAGAGCAGGGGAGAGTGTCTGTCTGACTCCCATCTAATCGCCCAAAGGCTAAGGCCTTCCCTCTCCCTTTCCCTCTGTCTTCCATTTCTCTTTTCATTAGCAATTTTTTTTTTGAGGGTAGGCATACCCCTATTGGTACTGGGGGTTACCCCTTGTAAGTTGGTCCAGGTCCCATTAGAGTCCAGGATCCAGCGTAGGTGCTGCAAAGCATACGGGCCACCAGCCCTTGAACCATTTCCCCGGCCCACTTCCTTCAGAGTCTTCAGGTGTTTTGAATATAGTCAACACACAGTATACACAAGTGCTCAGGTTTAGCTGTACAGCTTGGTGAGCCTTGACAAACCTCGTCCTCCACCCTCCTCCTCCCCGCCAGCCCATCTCAGGCAACCACTGACCTGCATTTCTATCACTGCAGATAATTTCCCTCTCTGGGAGTTTGTATCTATGTGGTCATTCCATACATAGTCTTTGGCTTCTCATCTAGCATCCTGATTTAAAAAAAAAAAATTTGGGGGGGCCACACTCAATGATACTTAGGGCTTACTCCTGGCTCTGCACTCTGGAATTATTCCTGGTGGTGCTTGGGGGACTATGTGGGACTAGGGATCAAACCCAGGTTGGTCACGTGCAAGGCAAGTTCCCTACCTGATGTACTACTGTTCTGGCCCACTCATATTTTGCTTTTGAGATGGAGTCTTGTCATTGGTGTTTTGTTTCTTTTCCTTCCTTCCCTTCTTTCTTTCTTTCTTTCTTTTTCTTTCTTTCTTTCTTTCTTTTTTCTTTTTGGGTCACACCCGGTGATACTTAGGGGTTTTCCTGGCTATGCACTCAGGAATTACTCCTAGCAGTGCTTGGGATGCTGGGGATTGAACCCCAGGTTGTACAAAAGCAAGGCAAATGCTCTACACACTATACTATGAGCCCCATTTGTTCATTTTTGAACCAATTTTTTTCATTTGGGTCATGTGCAAGGCAAATGCCCTACCAACTGTACACCGGCTCCATTGGTTCATTTTTGCTCCCAAGCAGCATTTCATGGAAAGGGTATACTAAAGTTATCTTTCCATTCTTCTGTGGCTGGACAATTGAGAATTCTGTGTACCCCCCTCCCTGGGGTGGGGTGGGGAGTACTAATAGTCTCTCACTATCACAAATTATGCAGAAGAGTTTCTTTTTTTATTTTATTTTATTTTATTTTTGCTTTTTGGGTCACACCCGGCAATGCACAGGGGTTATTCCTGGCTCTGCACTCAGGCCTTCCTGGCGGGGCTCAGGGGACCATATGGGATGCTGGGAATCAAACCTGGGTCGACTGCGTGCAAGGCAAACGCCCTACCTGCTGTGCTATCGCTCCAGCCCCAGAAGAGTTTCTTATATGTGGAAGCCCTAGGGGTTAACACACCCTGAAGGTAATGGCTAAGTCTTGTCCCGGGAAAACCACCTTCCTGATTTCAGTTTCCTCACCTGCCAGGTAAATATGGACATTTGAGTTTTTGCCAGATATTAGCTTTTATGAACAAAGCATTGATTGAAACACTCCCAGCAAGTCTTTTGTAGATTCAGATTCCCATTTCTCTGGGATAAACGCCTTAGAAATGGAATTATTAGCTTCTGAGTCAATGCAGGGGCTACATTGCATGTAGCATTTCTGTGCTCCTCTTATAGGTTTATCTGGACACACCATCCACACACACTATCCTATACATTCATTTACTGTGTGTATATGCATGTGTATATTTGCTTTTGTTTTTCTGGGGAGCCCACACTGGGTGGTGCTCAGTAACTACTTTTTGCCTGATGCTAGAGGATTGTTCCTGGCAGTGCTCAGGGCACCATGCAGGGCCAGAGACCAAATGCCAGGTTTCTGTAGGCAAAACACACACACCCCGGCTCCTTTGTTGATGTGGTTCCCAGGACTGGAGTCGCATATCCGGGAGCAAAGTTTGCACATTTGTTTCTGTGCTCTCAGAGGTCGCCTGCCCTGGTTGCGGGTGCACAGGCACTTGCCAGGGAGTGCACTCATTTACTTGTGGTGCTTTGTGACTCTGGTTGTGGTGCTCAGATGCACGCTCATTGGAGACGATGTTCCAGACAGCAGGGGTGCTGGGGCACATGTTAGTGGCAAAGCATATGCTGCCAAATCATTTGCAAGGCCAGTGCCCTTGGACACTGAGCCACCCCTACCCGCTTATGCACACAGCATAGCGCATAGCTGTGTCTGGTCCCTGTCAGACACGACCTTGTAGAGGCAGGTGCAGGCTCTGCAGGGGAGCATTCGTGAGGTGTAGGGACCAGACATAGGCAGCTGTTGGGGTTCACCTGCTGCCATGTGGATGGGTTATCTAAAGGCCTGAGGACACTTTCCTTGAGGATACCCAAAGCTGGTGTTTGCTTGGCGCAGAAAGGGGTGAAGAGATGGCTATACCAGGAACCACAAACTTCTGGAAACAAAAACCAAATGTTTTATTGTGGCCCAGAGATAATACAATGGGTAGGGTGGTTGCCATGGGTGTGGCCGACCCGGGTTTGATCCCCGGCATTCCATATGGTATCTGAGCACTGCCAGGAGTGATTACTGAGTAAGCCCTGAGAAACACCTGGTGTGGCCCCAAACCCAAAACAGAAACAAAAACAAAAATAAAACCTGAAGTGTGGGGGCTGGAGCAATAGCACAGCAGGTAGGGCGCTTGCCTTACACGTGGCCAACCAGGATTCAATTCCCAGCATCACATATGGTCCCCTGAGCACTGCCAGGGGTAATTCCTGAGTGCAGAGCCAGGAGTAAGTAACCCCTGTGCATCGCCAGGTGTAAACCGCCCCCCCCGCCCCCCACCAAAACAAAAAAAAAAAAACAAAACCCACCACCACCAACAAAAAAACCTGAAGTGTGAGGGAATTGTAACTTCTGGGAGGTCAAGCAGTTCTGAGTTTCTGAGTCCTAAGTAGAGAAGGAGCGTGAACAAAGAGAGAGAGAGAGAGAGAGAGAGAGAGAGAGAGAGAGAGAACAGTGTGTCAGGCTCTTGCCTTCTATGAGACTGACCCCGGCTTGGTGCCTGTATGGTCCCCTGAGCCCTCCAGGAGTGATCCCTGTGAGCAGAAAAGGAAAGTGAAGAATTAGCCTTTCAGAACAGGCCCTGGCATATAAGTAACAGGTGGTAACGGATTGCTACTGGGGAGATTGGTGGTGGGGAATGTGCACTGGTGGAGGGATGGGTATTTGAACATTGTATGATTGTAACTCAAACATGAAAGCCTGTAACTGTATCTCACAGGGGGGGAGGGGGGGGGACGACGGCCCTGGCATTGGGATGTAGACATTTGTACCAGTGGGCACTAGAGGGCAGGAGAACTCTGCTTTGAGAAAAATGGGATGCTTTGCTCCGAGTCAGCTAGAGTAGAGAAACATGAGTTCTGGGGTCCCAGCGTGTGATTCAGGCACCAGGAAGAAACGAAACAAAACAAAAAAGGGGTATCAATGGAGCAAGACTTCTAACCTGCATAAAGTGAGCCCAGATTATAGCAGTAGGAAGTCTCTGTCATGACTGACTGTTTGAGAGCATGTTACCATACTCCAGAGAGTTCTTTCTTCTTCATAGTACAAGCCAAAGCTCTTTACTTTCCCTTCTTCATCTTACACATCAGATATGCAGTCTCTCCACCAAGCTGTACTTGTAGGAACCCATTTTGCTAATCATGATAAAATGAGTTGAAAAGTCCTTGACACCAGCCTTGTTGGCGTCCGTATGCATAATGAATGGTTCATCAGGATTTTATGAAAAATGATTCCTGACTGCAATTTGTTTTGGAAACTGAATGAGAATCATGGTTGGTGGAAGTAGTTTAATCCAATTTCAGTTGGGGGCAGAGAGAGAGTACAGCGGTTAAGGCACTTGCCTTGCATGTGTCCCACCCAGGTTCACTTTCCTGCACCGCATATGGTATCCCCTGAGTCCTCCCAGGAGTGATCCCTGAGTGCAGAGCCAGGAGTAAGCCCTGAGCACCTCCAGGTGTGCTTCCCTCCCCACAGTCTATTCTCAGGAATCGCAGATATCTGTGTTATTATCCTAAGGCGTTGGGCCTAGCAGATGAGGTCCTAGAGTCTGAGATATTGACTAGCCCAGGGCTTGGCTCACTCTCTGGAAATAAGTCAGGCTCCTGGGTGGTCTAAATTCTTTCCCCAACTCTCCTGATCACTACGCTGCACTCTTGACCTCTAGTGGAAGCTAAAAGTGATGGGAATACTCCCAGCCACTCTACCAGAAACTGTCTGTACATAGACCTGCACTATTTATTTATTTATTTTTTTTGGTTTTTGGGTCACACCCGGCGGTGCTCAGAGGTTATTCCTGGCTCTGCACTCAGGAATTCCTCCTGGCAGTGATTGGGGGACCATATGGGATGCTGGGAATCAAACCTGGGTCGGCTGTGTGCAAGGCAAATACCCTCCCTGCTGTGCTATTGCTCCAGTCCCTGCACTATTTCTTATAGTCAGGATTGTATCCTCTGGGGCGGAGAGGAAGAAGGGGGCATAATTGCTGATGTTCAGGGCTTACTCCTGACTCTGTGCTCAGGGATCACTCCTAGCAGGGTCAGGAGACCATAAGTGGTGCTGGGAATTGAACCTGGGTCTGCTGCATGTAGTGCAAGTGCCCTGCTGTACTATCTCTCAGGTTCCTCTTTGTTATATTCAGATGTGAATGGGGAAGTGAGTCATTCAGGAGGAGGAAGAGGTCTGGGAAGAAGTGACGTTTCATCATTACTGCTTCACCACCAGGCCCCCATAGTATTTTGGGTCACACATAATAGTATTTCTGGGAGGACTACTACCGGCTCTGTGCTTGGGGGACCATGAG